GTCGACGTTTCCTGGTGTGAGATACGGTATTTACTGATTCTTAGGCGGCGCTGGATGTTAATTGTCGTCGGAGGTTCTGGGTGTGGGCGAATCATTGTATAATGCCCACACCCTTTCGGGTGGCTTAGGGTGCGGCGTTGTCTTTGCCTCACCGTGCAGCTCTAAGATGTATTATTACCCAAAAGCAACACGCCCTTCCGTGCTTCACTGTTTTTTTTATTAGGGATCGCTCCGAGCTGGCGCTCCGAGCGCCTGGCAGAGCCGCCGCTGGATGTGGGGCTCGTAACTCGGGCTTGCCTGGGCTTCCCGCCGGGATTCCCTGCAGAGGAACTGCTTCTCCCGCCTGGTGCAGGTTAGGTTGGACAATATAACCAGTTCTTTCTCCAAGTGGAGCCTTGAACAGTGTAGGAAAGTGATGTCCCGATGAAGAGCCCAGTTTATACATCCCCTGTGGCACTTGGTGTCTCCACATCTTCTCAACCCTGGCATGGCCACCGTGGGTGACTCTCCCGCCACCTCCACCTGGCCAGCCCTCGGGAGCATCTGCGGTGTCAGTGATGACTCCACCATCAGTGGTGACCCCTTTGCTCACTTCTAGGACCCTACCTCTTTCTCCGACCACCCAGTTTTCCTTCAGTGAAGGGTTTTTAAATCAGTGAATTACTTTTTCTTGCCTGAAGTAGTGGGCTGAGTTTAAATGAAACACATTCAAGGCAAACTCGCAGAGAAGTCTCACCTTTCCCCGTGCCACATGATTGAATAGGGGGGCAAAGATGCAACCCCCTTATTAGAGTAATATAATTTTCCATCTCAAATAGGAACCAGGGATGTTTTAATGATTGGGCTCATTAGATGGACTTTCCACTTAAAGTGTCTGTCTGGCAATTAAGTCTGGGAAAAGCATGACTGATGACCACACCTTCTGTGACTTAATGGGGAGTCTGAAGGCTGATCTTATTATCACACTGATACAGTCTGTGATAAAAAAGAATTTAAGATACTCTCCAGAGATTTATTTGCCCATTAGGAAACTGCCAGGAGAAGGTTAAGGGAACTCATAAGGTCAAAGCTGAACAGAGAAAAGTACTAAACACTTGGGATCCAGGTGGGCAGAAACAGGAGGACATGATTTCCACTCTTGGCTCCGCTACTGACCTGTTACAAGGCCTTCACCAAGTCACTTTCTTCTTTTTTTTTTTTTTTTTTTCCTGACGTGGCTGGTCATCACCATGCTGGGCACCATGGTAGCCCTGCAGATGCTTCGTGTAACAGCACCATGGCTTTGCCTCAGTGGCTCAGTTCCCTGCTGCCATGCCCAGCTGGAGGAGCACATGGAAAAAATTGTGTGGGGCGGAAGGAAGCCCATGCAGTCAGGCAGGAAAGTGGTGGTGATAAGGGCAGCGAGATGGAAAAGGCTACGGCAGAGTTTCTGTTCTCCTCCTAGAGGATCCTCATGGGTCCTCAGTGATTCCCTCACCTATTCTTGTCCGCTTTAAAACATGACCTGCTGTAATATTTTACTTAAGCCTGGTGTTTAATGGACTGGAACTTATTGTAGAGTTCACTGTGCCGGCTTCAAACCTCCTGTTGGGTACCATTTTACTGACATTAGCTTGCCATAGCTTGTCAGCGATTTTAACTCTGCTGATGGGTTGAACGCCCCAGGATAGACGAGCCGGCTCTTTTGGCTTTGTACTTCACTTTAGCTTCCTTAAGTACAGTGGGGAGGGATAATTCAACTAAACATGCTTTAGTACAGAATTTTTGGTGACAGAAGAACTGCTGTGCGTCCGGGTCAGTTTTGCCAGATTAATGGAGGAGCTGTGAGAAAGGGAAGTGTTTCATTTCAGTGTCTGCAGAGTGGAAGTCCTGACTTTCACAGGGCGGCGTGATTTGTTTAACTCAACATTTGCTGTGTTCTTGATTAAACGGGCACCCAGAATTTGGGAAAACATTTTGTTTCGGGCTGAACGAGTGATTTTTATAACGTTTTTCAGTTCCAGAAAGGAGACGTCCCGCTCATTCCCACCCTTCTCCTGAAAAGCCTCCTCTGTTCGCTTTGTATCTTCTGCAAGGGGGTCGTGCCGACTCCAGTCCTGTCTGGTCCATTAGGAAAACAAAGACTCCCAGACTTCTCTCATCGTCCCTCCACTTTATCTTCCCTTTGTGCCAAATAGAGTGTTGGAAGGCAAAAAAAAAAAAAAAAAAAAAAAAAAAAAAAAATCCACTGTATACTACTTAGATTTGTGTGGAAACTAAATAATTGAATATGAAGGCATTTGCTTTATGTCTTTAAGGAATCCTTTTGAAGTTGACTCTTCTGACCTTCGAGGCCCTGCATAATTTTTTTTTCTTCTCTGTTTTCCTCCCCTTTGTTGTTCCTTGCACTCCTGTAATCTTCCCTCCTGGCTGCTTCCTTCACCTCCTCCCACCCTGCTCCCTGAGCCCACTTATCTGCACCCCGTGTTTGAAGCACCCGGTGGCTGGTGCAGCCACCTCTCCCCCCCTCAGGCCTCCCTCCCGCTCCCCGTGGCCAGGAGCCTCTCCTACCTACCGCATTTTCTCCAGATGGTGTTTTACCTGGGCTCCCTCGACCCCCTCCCCTCCCCAAATTGCTTTTTTTCGTCTCCCTCCCATTGGGAAACGGTTAAATTAAGGGACCTGCCTAAGTGTTCTGGCTGGCCAAGTGCAATACTTCCACCCACAGCTTTCAGCGGGGGACGGGCTCTCTTCCCTCTCTCCGGACACAAGTAGGTCTCCACCCTCCCGTGCTAATAGTCTTAGAGCTGTTTGAGCTTCCTGAGCTGAATCCACATTGTGTCCAGCCCCACTGACTTCTCTGCTGGACTCGTGGCCTCCCCATGGGTGGCTGTTGGGGTTGTGTGTTCCCACACTCTGCAGCACGCAGTGGGGTCCCATCACCAGGCTCTAGTGATTCTCTGAGCTCAGGAGTTTGGAGTAATTCAATTAAAGGGGTCTCAGCCAGTGAAAAAAGATCATTTAGGTTGCTTTAAATTGCTACAGAGCTTCAATTTTACCAGTTCAGGGAATGGTTTTCTTTGTTTTGTCAGGAGTTGTAGCTTTGCTGGGGTGAATAGGAGGACTCAGCTGACTTATCACAGAATGGTTTGGAAGGAACCTTTAAATCTCACATAGTCTAAGCCCCTGCCATGGTAAGGGACAGCTTTCACTAGACCAGGTTGCTTAGAGTCCTATCTAGCTTGGCCTCAAACACTTCCAGGGATGGGGCACCCATAGCTTCTCTGGGCAACCTGTGCCAGGGCCTCACCACCCTCAGTGCAAAGAATTTCTTTCTCCTTTCTGGCTTCAGTGGGACAAGCAGTCTTCTTTCTAAAGGGTAAATATAGCTCTGAATAAAGGATGTGTACACATGGCACACACATATTTCATGGAGATATTTAGGCATGGGAGTGCTGGCACTGGAGAGGAAGCAAAACCCTTTACCCTGCATTTATCTGGGCAAGGTTTTCCTGCTTATTCACCGGGAGGGAGGAATACGGATTTGCTCCTGGTGGAGGTAAATATTCGCAGTGATTTGACAAGGACTCAGATTCCTCCCGCAGCAAATGTGTGAGCTGAGAAAGGGCAGCAGTGGTTGGTTTCGTGAAGAACTGCTCTCCTTGCTCTTCCAGGGTAGAAAGTTCATTTTTCCACTGACGCATCCCTGACAAACACCCAATGGGGGCTGGCGTGGGCAGCCAAGTGATTGTGTTGTCACAGCAAAGACCAGTGAAAGGACAGCAAGATTTATATCGTGGCTGCTCAGAGGGCTGGAGAAAAACGGCCCAAAGCCAGGAGTCATGCAGGCATGGCTGATACTGTCTTCAGTCTTTTTTGCCAAGTGTGGGCTAGTTGGTGGCTTACGTGAAATGGGCCGCACAGTCCTGGTCCGAGTCTTGGTGGGCATGATTCCATAGGACAGAAACCAGCCACGCAGTTGACACTTCCACTGGCAGTCTTAGCACAGAGATGGCTTGCTGAATCAGCCCTGAAGTTAGAAAAAAAAAATTAAAAATCGAAAGAATTTTACAGGAGGAGAAGCGCAACCTTCTAGCAGGGGAGCGGGTGACCCCAGAAAGCCCAGAACACACAGACATGACTGTAGTGATGGGATTAATTTACTCAACAATGAAGAGGGTAGGGCTTTAGGTTGGTCTCTGGAGACATGGCCTCAGGTAGAGGTTCTCTGCATACCTGTGGTTGTATTATTTCATCTCCTCTGTGCCTTGGCTCCATATCTGCACAACCAGAGCATGGACTCAGGGAATGGTTTTGGTGGCAGAGACCTTTGAAAACTCCTGATTCAAGTTCCCCCTCTTTGGCCAGGCTCATGCCTTTGTGTGGTTGAATTTTGAGTATCTCCAAGGATACAGATCCCAACATCTGTTGGGATCATAGTTCTGGCTTCATAGTTCAAGGCTTGACCAGCCTCTTACTGAAAATGTTCTTACATCTGATCTAAACTTGCTTTGCTTTGGCTTCTGTCCATGGCTTCCTGTGCTCTGAGAAGAGTCTGACTCCTTCCTCTCTATAATTATTCATTAGTTAGGTGAAAAAGTGAGATTCTCCTTCACATCCTCATCTCTGGGCTGAACAAACCTCTCTTCTCCCTTTGTTTGCTCCAGCTCCCTCATCCCTCTGTGTGCCTCCACAGTGACAATGCCCGTCTGGAGATCCAAGATTAGACACAGTGCTCTGCCTGTGGTCTCAAAAGTGATGAACAGAGCAGAAAGATCTCTCCCCTTGGCCTCTGGTAATTCTTCTGAGTGTATGTGGCCATGCCACTGACTCTTGGGCACCTTCTTGGCCACCAGGTCCACCAGGCCTTTGCCTGCAAGGTGTCTCTCTAGGCAAACATGGGTGGTTATTGTTTCCTCCTGAGGTGGGATGGGTAGGAAGTGCCAGGGTGCTCTCGGCAGAGCGCAGAGGGTGAGGATTGTCCCTGGAAATGCAGGACCTGGAGGATCAGGCAGGGCAGGAGGCTGGCCAAGTCATATTCCCATCTGCATGAAGGACCAACCAAGGCTCAACTTTCTCCCTCAAAAGAATGAAGCCTGTTAACCAGTGAGAGGTGAGGTGGCTGTAGGAGCTGGAAGGTGCTGTAGAGAATGAGGATACACCAAAACACCTCTTTTTTTTTGTCTCAGGCTTGTTCAGAGAGGTGCAGCTTGTGTAGCCACCATGGCTGCTGATTCAGTACCTGCCCTGTGAGTATAACAGGAAGATTTCTGCCTCCACTGCTGCCCATCCATCACCTTCCACAAGCCTGGGAGCAAAAGGAAGAATAAAAGGAATAACAAGAAAATAATGAAACATTGCAGCCAGAAAGCTATCCTCTATGTTTCACAATTCTATAAATTATACCCTTCCCTTCCTCTTTAATCGCCAGGCATATAAAATATGCTTGCAGCAGAATCATATCCCTCCATTAAAGTTTCAGAAGAGAAATACAAGTCCCATCTGCCTGTTTAGCAAAGCAGGGCAGTGCGTGACCATTTCTTCTTTTTTTTTTTTTTTTTTTTTTCCCCTCTCAAAATCTGCTTTATGGCAGGAGTTTTCTCTTTTAGGACTGGCTGTTTATTTTGTTTTCTCATTTCAGTGTGTGTTTTCACAAGCAGCCTCCTCTTTGTTCTCACAAAGGTCTTTATCCAGTGTCTCCACACTCACATGCACCTAAAGAGCAGAGGTGCAACCTGCCCTTGGTGAAGGTCAAAGGATAAAGAAGATCATTTATAGGACTTGAGTAGGCCTGCCATGGGTGGGTTTTTGCTCTGCAGATGGGACAGACACTGTCTGAAGAGCAGGAGTCAGCAATAAAGAAAAATTACCAAACTGGATTGTGGAGGCACCCATGTGCTTCGCTGCCACCTATCCCTGCTTACTCCCAAGGAAATTCGTATTTATTTGAGTTGTTCTGGAGTCAGGATGGGCATAAGATCTTAGGGGTGGTTTGTCTGCAGGGTGGAGGAGTGAACGTGGCATTGTCCCTTTTCATACACAAGTGTCCCCATGATCCACCTATGGAAAGGGCAGGGAGAGGAGGCTGCTTTTGGATGCATAGTCCTTCCATGTGCAGGGTGGGATGGCAGGGGGTGGATGCACATCCAAGGGGGATCTGTAGGCATCTATCTGTGCTCATGAACAGGGCAGGCTTACAGTTTTGGAAGGGTGTAATGGGTGAGAGGGCACCACAGCTCCACTTCTAATTCAACACACAGGGTCTTTATAGGATCACAGAATGGTTTTGGCTAGAAAGGGCTTTGAAGGCCATCGAGTCCAACCCCCTGCCACAGGTAGGGACACCTTCCACTATCCCAGGTTGCTCCAAGCCCTGTCCAACCTGGCCTTGGACACTTCCAGGGATCCAGGGGCAGCCACAGCTTCTCTGGACAACCTGTGCCAGGGCCTCACAATCTTCAGCATAAGCAGTTTCTTCATTCTGTCTGGGTGGAATCCCCTGTCAGTGGGAAGAAACTGTTGTCCTATCACTCCATGCCCTTGTCCAAAGCCCCTCTACAACTCTCTTGGAACCCCTTTAGGCACTGGAAGGGGCTCTAAGGTCTCCCTGAAGCCTTGGTCTCCCAACCAGTCTCCAGAGCAGAGGGGTTCCAGCCCTCTGATCATTTCTGTGGTATTCTCATTACCTGTTCTGTGGCTTATCACGGGTTACACGAGACACTTGCAAACTGGCTTGAATGATTATTTATAGCACTGTGCCCTTAGAAATCTCTCCTATCCAGCAGAAGGACATGTCCCTCTTTTTTACCATAAAGCCTCATTTTTATTCAGTGGCATTCAGAGCAGAGTGAATCCAGAGGGCTGGGGCGATGCGTCTGATTTCTCCGTGCCTGGAGATTTACACCCGCACTCCTGCTGCCATTAAAGATGCCCTGCTCCAAGGATAAATCAGACCATGCTCTATTAGATGCGTTATGTGTTTCCAAGAAGTCATGTGCCATGGTAGGAAGGATCTACTGCAGATTTTGCACTGGTTTTTGGGGGCTGGATGCTGCTGGTGGAATAAATCCGCAGGGGGATTTATATTCCCTTTTCCTGATGGGTTCACCATAGAAGAGGCTTTTCTTTTTATTTCTTCTTTTTTTTTTTTCCTTTTTTTTTTTACCACCTTGGGCAAGAAGCTGTTTGGCTTGATGTAGGTTCAAATTTTATTTTTAAGCAAAATATGAGAAACGCAGGAGGGGAAACCACACTCTGTTCCTTAAAATAAGTGGAAGAAAAGACAGGGCTAGAAAAATATTCTCTGCTGCAGGCAGTTGATGAGCATGTACTTTGCCATAGGCAGCATCAAGGAGCTCTGGTTGTCACTGGAATGTACCTTTTTGTTTAAAGGTGTTTTTTGTAGGGGTCTGATTGAGCTTTTGGGCTTATTGAAGTCCTACAGCCCCTCTCTGTGTGTACAATGCCAACAGCTCACACTGAGCTCAGGTTCTGCAGTACCATTTGGAAGGGGGAGTGGAAGCCAAACCCAGCTCAAAACAAACCTCAGCCTTTCAGTGCTTACAGGGGATTTATAAAAAAGATGGAGGACACTTTTTACATAGGCAGATAGTGATAGGACAAGGGGGAATGGCTTAAAACTGCCAGAGGTCAGGGTTGGATTAGACATCGGGAAGAAATTCCTGGCTGTGAGGGTGGGGAGGCCCTGGCACAGGTTGTCCAGAGAAGCTGTGGCTGCCCCTGGATCCCTGGAAGTGTCCAAGGCCAGGTTGGACAGGGCTTGGAGCAACCTGGGACAGTGGAAGGTGCCCCTGCCCATGGCAGCAGAGTGGAACAAGATGAGTTTTATGGTCCCTCCAACCCAGACCATTCTAGGATTCTCACGACCTGCCTGGGCAAACCTTTCTCTAAGGCAGGGAAAGGGGAAAGGTTTGGGTATTTTGGCCATCCATCTCCCCCCCCGTTGCTCCTAGTCAGGTGCTGCAGGTGTCTCTCCTGGTGTTTTTGTTTTTGTTTTTGTTTTAAATTCCTCATGCTTTGCATCCCCTGATTCAGTGCTCAGCCTTCAGCAGCCATGGAGGAAAGGCTCCAAATCCCTGTTTTCACCACCCCCAAAAGCTGGAGCCATCAGCAACCACCTGGGCAGGGGGAGCAGCCCTGCTCGTGGCCACATCTGCTCTCTCCGCTCGCACACACGCCCACAGCACCATTACCTTGTAATTAAATCCCTTTTTCCCCAACTGGAAGGATTCTGCTATAAACAAGGGTTTTCTCTAACCATAATTGCACTCGTTGGAGGGCAAAGCTCTGCAATAAAGTCTGGGCTTTGTTCTGTGTGCAAGGAGCGAGTCCCTCTGCCTCTCCTCAGGTATGCCAACAATGCCAGCGGAACTCCCCGCGACCTGACATGAATCCCGGGGCAGGGTTTGCAAACAGAGGCAGTGGTCAAAGCGGGGCCTGGAGAGCATTTATAAATATTTTGAAGCACCGGCTTGGAAAAGGAAAGTCCCCTGGTGTTGCTGCAGTGTTGGTGTTTCATCCAGCGCTGGCTTTGAGGTGCGTTGTTGGCAAGCTGCTGGGGTCCTGCCCATGCCCAGGAAGGGCTGGATGAAGGAAAAAAAAAATAAAATTAATAAATATATATGTATAAACCTGTATGAAATGCAAGAAATTGCATTTTACACCCCTTTTTGCCCTGTGTCTTCGCGGACAAAGGGGGAAGAGAAATTTAGACCCTTTGAAGGGGTATTTTGTCCACATACGAAATGGCAAAATGTGAATTAGAAAGTCCCAGAGGTGGGAGGCAAGGTGGGTAGATGGAGAGGTAGATGTTTCCAAGTGTCTGCTTTTGTTGTAGCTCCTCAGCTGATGAATTTTCCTCTCCTTGAGAGAGAGATCACTGTAGCACATTTAACCAAAGGCTAGCGTATTTGTGCTGTGGAAGGAAATGCAAAATGCAGACAGGGAAGGGGCGGGGAAAGTGGGGTGAAATGCTGATGTTTTCCCACCCAAGGCAAAAAGCAGGTCCTAGGACACTGTGAGAGATTCTGTGTGTCTGCTGGTGCTCCTCAGGTCATTGCCTAAATACACACACCCCCAGAGCATCCTCCAGCCCTTCTCTCAGGAGGTGGATCAAGCCTTTTCCCTGGGAAGAGTATGGGGAGGCAGCCATGTGTTCCCTATGCACGTGCAATGCCCTTTCCCAGCCCACAAATCCTTGGGGTTGCTGTTGTGTCAGGTGTTTGCATTTCTTCTTCTTTTTTTTTTTTTTTTTTTTTTTTTTTTTGGTATAAAAGCAAAACCACCCATGGGTGTGGATATCTTTGAGCAGTTTGTGTTGGAGGGACCTTAAAGATGATCTGATTCCAAGCCTCCTGCCATGGGAAGGGGCATGGGACATCTTCCACTATCCCAGGTTGCTCCAAGCCCCATCCGACCTGGCCTTCAACACTTCCACGGATGCCAGCGGGAGATGGTGCCTCTCTCCTGGAGGTTGCTGCCTCTGTTGACTGTGCTGCTGGAACCAAACTCCAGGAGCACCAGCCGAGTTCCCTTCACCCAGCTGCCCACTGCAGCTGGAAGAAATCTGATGGCTGCTTTTTTTAATCCCAGCAGAAATTGGGATTTTCGTAACAACCTCGAAGGCTGGCTGAGCTGCGTGGAGCAGTTGCCTCTGGCCTGGTAGTGGATGAGAAGCTGGGGTTCATTTCTTATGGCTCTAGCACATTTTGGATCAGGAAAAGACCACCTGTCCTCAGACTTGAAGTGCTGTTTAGGGGCATATATGTAAAAAGGGAATCAGCCACACTGAAATAAGATGCTTTGCAGGGGTGTAGCTGTCTCTGTTCCAGCTCTAAGGCCCACACAGGTCTTCCTATAAGACACAAACCAGCTGCACTTCCCCATCCCACCCCTGGAAATGTTCAAGGCCAGCTTGGAGCGACCTGATTTAGTAGAAGGTGTCCCTGCCCATGGTAGGGGTGGAACTGGATGAGCTTTTAGGTCCCTTCCAACCCAGAGCATTCTGGGGTTCTGTGATTGTCATGGTGGTTCCAGCAGCTCAGTGGAATTCAGAACACCCTGCAGTTCTGCCCTGCAGACCATTGCAACATCCTCACCCTCTCTGCGCTGGTGCAAATCCAGAACAGCATCTGTTAAACCCTGGAGTCAACCCAGAATTACACCAGGATAGATAAAAATACATTTTGCCCAGCAAAGCCCCCAAAAAGTGTAAAATCCATCTATTCAGTTCCAGCAAGGCCAAGTTCAGGCTGTAGCCAGTGCCCCGAGCCAGATTCAGAGACTCCTTTGGACATCCCCTTTGAGTTCAGGCATGTGAGCAGCTTCCCTCTTCCCTTAAAAATATTTCCTTGTAAAGCCTGTGTGAACTTGTGCATGTGTTGATGTTATGGTTATCACACATGTAATTTCATCTGACATTGTAATGACAGCATGGGGAGTTCAAAATGTAACAGTAAATATAGTTGTTAGGGGAAAAAAAAAAATACCAGCATCCTAGCCCATCATCCCAAATGCCTCCTCACGTCATGGGAGGGATGCAGACAGACTCCAAACACCATCAGCATTTCTGGGTTCCAGTTGGAAGCTGCCTGGAGTTCAGGATAGGCCAAGACAAACAGGAGAGACTGTCTCTCTCTCTCTCTCTCTGCATGGCAGGGCTGCATTTTCTCCTCCTTTTCCCTATTTTTTTTTTTGTTTGTTTGTTTTTGGAAGGGTCATCCTTCTAAAGAGGGGACAGGCCAGGTGTTCTCCCTGCTCGCTTGAGCTGTTTTTGTGGCCTGAGGCATGATGCCCCCCAGATCCTGCACTCACCCCGGGCCGAGAGCTGAGTCCTGACTCGACCCTGGTTATTTTTGAGTGCTGTCGGTTTGCGATGCTGCATTGAAGGGTCATTTGCCAATTCCATTATAAGCCTCATTTACAACTCAGCTGGTTTAAATCAGATCAGACTGTGAGTTGGCATGTGCATGGAGTCAGCTGGGATGTAGGGCTCACTGTGCTGGGGGACCTGCTCCCTCAGACCCCCTGGTTGCCTGCAGAAGCGTCGGTTGAAAAGTTAATCCCAATGATTTTCAATATTATTTTTTTTCCATGTGTTTTGAGCTGAAACATCTAAGCAGTAGATATTTTTCTTTTTCCAGAGAGAGTTAAATTTTTTTTTTTTTTTTGTTGGTTCTCCACCAGCTTTGACTATATTTACCAAGCTGGGCATGGGTGGGCCCCACTGGATCACACGGATTGCTCAGGCGGGTGAGGCTTTGCAGGATCAGGGCTGAGCTGAGGAACTCAGCTGCTGTTTAGCTTACGAGCAGGTTGGCAGAGAAGCCAGGGACTTCTCACACAGAAGGAGCTGAGGTACGAATGAAATCTGAATCTGACCCCTGATCTTCAGTTAAATTGCTCTGCAACCTTGAGAGCTGGATTAAATCATCCCCGGAAGACAGGGAGTTGCCTCTGGATATTCAGCACTTGGGCCACACTATAAGGTTATGCTCATATATTACCTGTGGTCTTCAGAGAGCTCATTAGCTGGTTGGTTTACATATGAAAAATATGGATGAAACTCTCGTCCCCCCCTTCCCTGACCACCCTGTGCTGAAACCTGGCAGTAATTCCACGAGAAAGGCCCAGCTCGAGGCTTGCAGACGTGATGCATCTCGCTGGGGTTTCAGCACGGTCAGGACATACCAGTCAGAGAAATGTTGGCTTGCAGAAAGAACGGTCATGGAATCGCAGAATCGTCAAATGGTTTGTGTTGGAAGTGACCTGTGAAGGTCATCTCGTTCCAACACCCCCTGCCACGGGCAGGGACACCTTTCACCTTCCAGGGCTCAGAGGCCCATCCAACCTGTCCTTGAGTGTTTCTGGGGATGGGGCATCCGCCACCTGTATGGGCAGCTTGTGGCAGTGTCTCACAGCCTTCATCATGAAAAGTTTCTTCCTTCTGTCTAGTCTGATTTAGTTCAAAGCCATTACCCCTTGCTCCCAGGGGTGGAGCATCCGTGACAGTCCTCAGCACAGCAGAGGATGGGGAGATGCAGTTCCATTCTGCCTAGCTCCCCTCTTCGATGGGGCTGGGGTGTAGGTCACTTGGAGGAGACACTCCTGGGTAAAGTCTGGGTGGATTTGGTCCCTTCTGTGCAGCTGGGCCTTGAATTTTTATCCTGTGTTTGGGTTTACTGCTGCAGCAGGGGCCAGGCCTTCTGTCCATGGCACAGATAATGGGGTGGTGGTGCTGGAAGGACCGTGTCTTTGCAGGCTGGGTTGCCATTGAGGGATGAGATGCTCTGCAGAGGCACCTTCTGTGAATATGTCTATCCAAAAGCCACCTCCTGTCTGTGTGGGAACTGTTCTGGCCCAGCTGTAGCACGGGAGCTTGTGTGCTTGGAGCTGCAGGACTGAAATGGCGATTACAAATCAATGAGGCTGCAGAGGCTCTCACAGGAGTCAAGCAGCAATATAATATTTTGGGTTATGCCAGAGTTAAATAGACTCATCTGAGGTACCTCTCTCCTAAATACCTGTGGGATTATGAGCCTAATGAATGGCAACACAGTGTCGGCAGCACAGGGCACGGTGGGAACTGAGAGGTGAGGCTGAGCTTGTGTCATGGGGCTTGACACAGAGCAAGCTGGGCTTTGGAGAGGTGCTGGCTCCTGAGGTGGCCTTGTGAGAGGCAGGACAAAGCTGGTGCGAGTCTAGAAACGCCTCAGATCTTGACCGATGCACGGGGATGGCTGGGGGCTCCTCCTGGAGGGATGACACTGGGAGACACAATGGGGACCAGCAAGAAACAGGGATGTGTGCCCCTGGGGATGCCCAGAGGCGCTGTGGGGAAGGCTGGGGAGGGTCTGGAGGAGCAGTCCTGCCCAGGCAGGGGATGGAGCGCAGCTGCTGCCAATGCCACCGCCGAGCTGAGCCTCCCACCCCAGCGCTCCTGGAGCCTGCCTGTACCTGCTCCCAAGCCGATATTAAGCCTGCTCAAACACTGCACCGCCTTCTCCTCACATTGTTTTCTGTACCCCACACCCAGCACCAAAATAGCGATAACCCCCCCCTTCCCCACCCTCCCGCGGTGACTCAGGCTGGCGGGCAGGCACACATCTGCTTCTCATTTAATGTGCAAGCGCTCTGACCCTTTTATTTTTATCCCCAAAGTCCTCCCGCTGGTGGCTTTCTCTCTCCGGGGGCGAGGGGAGAGGAGAGGAGGGGGAAGCTGGAATCGCCACCCTTCGCTCTGTGCTCTTTTCTGGAGCCCTCAAAAAAAAAAAGATGTGTTTTATTTTGGAGCGCTGTTTTTCGCGCGGGGCTGGTGACAGCCTCGCCCGGATCCGCATCCAAGTCCCTCGCAATCCTGTCCACTCCGGAGGGACGCCAGCCAAACCAGTTTTCCATGGTTAAGCTGGGCACATTTTTCCGCCGTGGTTGGTTGTGGTTTTTGTTGGTTTTTGGGGTTTTGTGTTTTTTTTTTTTTTTTTTCTTTTTTCTTTTTGTGTCAGGAAGCGAACCCACCCAGTGTGTGCGCGCCGTTCAATAGGAGCCTTTTTTTTAATTTCTTTTCCTTTTTCTGGCTCTGAAGAAGAACAGGACGGGAGAGAGGGAAGGGGCTGGCCTGTTCTCCCAGGGGAGTTCAGAATGGAAGGAAATGGCTTTTTTTGGCTATTTTTAGGGTCATGCTCAAAGGAGGTACCCAGCACTGACGTGCTTATTGGGTTGTAATGTTGTGTGTCCACAGGGATGTATCTCATATATATATATATATGTATCACATCTATCTATCTATCTATCTATCTATCTACATATATATCTCCTGTATCACTCCCTGTATCAAGATCTGGGCATCTTGCACAAGGGGAAGGTGGTGGAGGAGAGCAGCTGCAAACCTGTGGGCAGAAAATCCACCAGCAATGTCACGTACCTCGTGGACCCTCATCCATCTTGTGCCAGAGCTGCTGGAGGGACAAGCAAGCTGATGCTCCTCCAGGCCAGCTCCGGCGCAGGCATATCTCTGGTGGATGTCTGGGGAAATCTGGGGATTTTCCTACTGCTGGGTTGGTTTTTTTTTTGGTGGTGTGGGAGGGGGATTGTGTCACTTCAAGTGTGAATGAGTTTGCATGACAGTGGGGTGGTTGCAGAAGAGGACTGGAAGCTGTTCTGCTTCATTTATCATATTCCCCCCCTCCCACGTGCGTTTGAGGGGTGTGTGTGTGTGCATACAGATATGTATGGAGGGGAGATGTTCATCAGAAACATCGTCTGGAGCATGGTCAGGAGAGCATCAAGGCTTTGCAGAGTCATGTAGGTAGGGACCACTGGGTGTTTCAAGAAAAAAAAAAAAAAAAAAAAGATGTTGAGCATCTCCAGCCTTGCAGCATCTTCTGAAACCTCAGCAGAGAGGAGTAGAAGGGAGATGATGCCCTCAAGCTCCAGACCTCCAAGGAGCTGCTTGAATGGCGGGGGTAGGGGGGAACAACGCTGCAAGAAAAGACTATGGTCAGGTGTGACCATCCTATAAAATCTCCTGTCTGGTACCTGCCTGCCTGTGGTTAATTAATTTGCCCCTGCTCTGTGCGTAGATGAAGCCCTCAAAACACCATCTGGAGCCAGGCGGTGCCTTTGATGTAGCTCCGCTAATTGTTTACATTTATTTGACCATTTATCACCAGGATCCCCACTTTGCCAAAAACCTGCTCAGCACATCAGATGGCACTTGTCATGCAGCATGCAGACTTCATCAAGCT